ACAGGAGCTAGACCTCCAGAGCTAGGCCATACCCCGATGCACGTACTGATACATCGGACTGGGCGACGACAGTGGCGAGATCTCAGCGACTGTGCGGACAGGCATGGACAATGCATGTGGTCTACCAGACTCTACTCAACTACTTGAGGGTCGGTGGAACTCTCCGACACGAAACATTCTACTGCCGAATTCAACCTGGTAATAGCGAGTGGGCCCAGGACCTTGTCCACCATCCTCATCGCCGTCAAATACGTGGAATGTGTCTCTGACTCGCGAACCAAAGCATCTTCGGGTTTCAGCCGACAGCACTATTAGCTTACGTTTCGGAACCGCGCGCACGTGTGTGTGTGTGTGTGTTGTGTGTGTGTGTGTGTGGTGTGTGTGTGTGTGGTGTGGGTGTGTGTGTGTGGTGTGTGTGTGTGGGTGTGGTGTGTGTGTGTGTGTGTGTGGGTGTGTGTGTGTGTGTGTGTGTGTGTGTGTGTGTGGTGTTGTGTGTGTGTGTGTGGTGTGTGTGTGTGTGTGTGTGTGTGTGTGTGTGGTGTGTGTGTGGTGTGTGTGTGGGTGTGTGTGTGTGTGTGTGGGTGTGTGTGTGTGTGTGTGTGTGTGTGTGTGTGTGTGTGTGTGTGTGGGTGTGGGTGTGTGTGTGTGTGTGGTGTGTGTGTGTGTGTGTGTGTGTGTGTGTGTGTGTGTGTGTGTGTGTGTGTTGTGTGGGTGTGTGGTTGTGTGTGTGTGTGTGGTGGTGTGTGTGTGGGTGTGTGTGTGTGTTGGGTGTGTGTGTGGTGTGTGTGTGTGGTGTGTGGGTGTGTGTGTGTGTGGGTGTGTGTGTGTGTGAACTTTACGACGCTCTCAGCTGCTGGATATCATGGTATCGCCTGCCTCTCACCTTGGCAGGAAGGTCGTGCAGCCACTCGTACCTGTGTTTGCCCAGACGCACATCCCACACGTTATGCAGTGGTTAAAGCGGACGCGTTAACCACTACACTACCGGCACCCCCATTTCAGAGCGCTGAAGAACATGACAGGTATGGCCCGCTCCGACACTGAACTTCATGCACGTCCACTTCGACACTGAACTACACACATCGCCCGCTCCGACACTGCACTTCATAATTCGCCTGCTCCGACACTGAACTTCATACACCGCCCACTCCGACACTGAACTTCATGCACGTCCACTTCGACACTGAACTACACACATCGCCCGCTCCGACACTGCACTTCATACTTCGCCTGCTCCGACACTGAACTTCATACACCGCCCGCTCCGACACTGAACTTCATGCACGTCCACCTCGACATTGAACTACACACATCGCCCGCTCCGACACTGCACTTCATAATTCGCCTGCTCCGACACTGAACTTCATGCACCGCCTGCCCCGACACTGAACTTCATACATCACCTGCTCCGACACTGAACTTCATACATCGCCCGCTCCGACACTGGACTTCACGCATGATACTGTCAGGGACGAAGAAGCGTTCCGGTAGTCGATGTAGCAGTGAAGTATAAACAGGCGGCCACAGCCTAGGTCATGAGTTCTGGTCAAAAGTCGGGCTGTTATGAATTTAAACCACCTAATTGGATTTCTCTAAAAATGATAGTCCTTATATCACAGGCTGCGGAAGGACTTTTCGGACATCTACGTGTTTTTGGTAGGTACCTTTTTCCTTGGGCAGACTTTAGTCAGCACCAAACAGAAAAGAGACGCCAAATTCTTAAGTGTTAAGTGGGTGTCGTTATGATCTATTCAGCTATTTACAAAACATTAGACAGGTGCTTGTTTTCAAGCATCTGTCTAATGTTTGTTGGTCTTATGTCTAATGCTGGTTTGAACCACTCCAGCCATATCAGGGACGTACTTAAAAGACAACCGCTTATCAAAGGGAAACAATTCTCACAGATCAGCTGATGCAAAGAAAAACAAAAAAGTTATGGACGGTCAGGGGAGGGACCGACAGATGTGTTTGAACAAATGCGTCGCCTGTCGCAGGTTTTTCAAGGGCGTGCTTTCGTCAAGTGACTTATGACGTTGTTTAGGTAAGATCAAACGATTGGATGTATAACGGACGTGATACATGGTGTTTTTATATGGTGATATATGGTGTTGTGCGGTGTTTGGTGTTTATTGTGTGTAGATGTGTATATTATGACGGGAAATAAGGGAAACTTATACACACGCATAGCAAACCAGTTATCAGTTGTAACGTAAATGGGAATATCCCGTCTGTTTTGGTACTGTTTGCTCATAAATCAGACGCGTTCGATTTGGTATACAGAACCAGTTTTCTCAAAATACTTAAAAAATGAAGTGTAATTCCAACATCCGATTTGAAGTGCACTATGAGCTGTGGCACGTTGTTAACTGGGCATTCACTTTGACATTAGGCTTGTCTGATTTGGCTTGTGGAACTTAAGACTGGCTTATGGCCATGAACTTAAAGCCTGCTGATTCTTCTTTATGCACGTCTGTGTTTAGCGTACGCAACTTGTGATATTTCTAGTTTGCGATGTATTGTGTCTACGTGCGGTTTCACTCCCAATTTAGATGATGTCTAGGTTTTGCAGCTTTAAATTGCAACATGATAAATCACTGCTCCCGCTGGAGCGAAATGCCTTGTTACCTACCTGAAAAGAATTGATGATGACGTGTATAAATTTCATGTGTATGTTAAAATACACGTTATTATATATATATATATATTATCATCATACACGTTATTTAAGCGTGTAGGAAGTTAAATGCCTTGTTACCTAAATCCATCAAAATGATGGAGAATGGGTGGCATTTATTATGGTGAACATGCTAGAAAATATCTGTTTGTCAAGAAATAGACCTTTGCTTTAGAAAGCTTCGTCCCTGAAGTTTAGGTGTGGAGTATGTGCGCATTATCTGGAGCCTGTGTGGCATTTCCTCCCTCACCTGCCATATTCCACACAGCATTGTTTACCTGTTTCCTGACCAATCAGGATATTTCTCACGAAGCAGTCCAAGATGGCGTCATCGTGCAGGTTGGTCGCCCTGTGTCGGCTGAGCACATCACTGTTGTGCGTGGTGTGGAGATCGTGGCCAAACGTGCACATCACTCTGGTTGCAGTCCCCGCCAAAAATCGCCTAGAATGAAAGGCATAATCTGGATGAGCTGCCAACGGAAACTGTCATCACGATGTAAGCGAGCTCCTGCCTCATACTTGCCCACCCGTGGCGCTGTGAGCTCGAGTCGCTGTGAGCGTTCACTATTTTCCCCTGACTGAGCTTAACTGCTTAGTCAATGGAACATTATCTAACCCCTCAGTGGCAGCAGCTACACTGAGAGTCAGGTAACGCCTGCTTAGTCAGGGGAACATTACCTGACCCTCAGTGGCAGCAGCTACACTGAGAGTCAGGTAACGCCTGCTTAGTCAGGGAAACATTACCTGACCCTCAGTGGCAGCGGCTACACTGAGAGTCAGGTAACCGCCTGCTTAGTCAGGGGAACATTACCCTGACCCTCAGTGGCAGCGGCTACACTGAGAGTCAGGTAACGCCTGCTTAGTCAGGGGGAACATTACCTGACCCTCAGTGACAGCAGCTACACTGAGAGTCAGGTAACGCCTGCTTAGTCAGGGGAACATTACCTGACCCTCAGTGGCAGCGGCTACACTGAGAGTCAGGTAACGCCTGCTTAGTCAGGGGAACATTACCTGACCCTCAGTGACAGCAGCTACACTGAGAGTCAGGGTAACGCCTGCTTAGTCAGGGGAACATTACCTGACCCTCAGTGACAGCGGCTACACTGAGAGTCAGGTAACGCCTGCTTAGTCAGGGGAACATTACCTGACCCTCAGTGGACAGCGGCTACACTGAGAGTCAGGTAACGCCTGCTTAGTCAGGGGAACATTACCTGAACCCTCAGTGGCAGCGGCTACACTGAGAGTCAGGTAACGCCTGCTTAGTCAGGGGAACATTACCTGACCCTCAGTGGCAGCGGGCTACACTGAGAGTCAGGTAACGCCTGCTTAGTCAGGGGAACATTACCTGACCCTCAGTGGCAGCGGCTACACTGAGAGTCAGGTACGCCTGCTTAGTCAGGGGAACATTACCTGACCCTCAGTGACAGCGGCTACACTGAGAGTCATGTAACGCCTGCTTAGTCAGGGGAACATTACCTGACCCTCAGTGGCAGCGGCTACACTGAGAGTCAGGTAACGCCTGCTTAGTCAGGGGGAACATTACCTGACCCTCAGTGGCAGCGGCTACACTGAGAGTCAGGGTAACGCCTGCTTAGTCAGGGGAACATTACCTGACCCTCAGTGGCAGCGGCTACACTGAGAGTCAGGTAACGCCTGCTTAGTCAGGGGAACATTACCTGACCCTCAGTGGCAGCGGCTATACTGAGAGTCAGGTAACAAGAGCCAAGTCCCAATGTCAACACACGTGAGAAACACTCTGAAAGAATGATGCTGCAATTGTTGACACCATTATGCTGCTGTTGTCTGTACTCGAGATCTGAAAATTTGTTTCACCTGTACGGATTCGATCTCAACAGTCGACAGCATTTAACAAAGCGCACACTTCGGTAGGTTGGGCCCCCTTGTGAGCCTGGGGGGGGGGGGGGGGCGACGTGCTGAACGGCTGAGGCTATCAAGCAGCGTGAGAGAGGGGGCGGGGAGAATGTCGGTCGATACAATGTCAGTTGCACTCCCAGACGAGCCGTTAACCGAGAATCCGAAAATATAATTGTGACGCATCAGATTGCTTACGCTTTCATCTTTTCCGACATTCCAGAGCCATCCGACAGGGTATCCGACAGTCCGAATTAAACGAGGTCACAGCTGAAGCGTGTGGTCTTATCTCCGCGCACATGTAATGTGTCCGTGAATCAACGTTGGTTCAGCCAGTGTGCCACCATTTACATCGAATGGACTTTTGTGACCTCATTACGTCACTTCATGACATATTGGGATTTGGACCTTGTGCAGACGTAAGCTTCCGGTTCAGTGCATGCACATACTTCAACGGATGACATGGGCATATGCTGGGAGATACCCATGAAACCTCAAAACCATTTGCAAAATTTTGAATTAGCTTCCGAGTGATACTCATCTCTAAGTCAGCGAGGTAACGGCAGTCACTTCGCCGAACGATAGTTCCATTCCCGTTTGTCAGCTGCATGCATATTTAAATATTGCTTACATGGCGGTGTTGAATTTGAGCGACATGTTTGTGTACTTGACTTTTATCAAAGGTGCCTATTTTAATGTCCTTTTCATGCAGCCTGCGCCTTCTGATAAATAACACAATTATTCAAAAGCCACAACTGGGTTACTGAACGCTGGTTGGTGGCCCTTTCGCCGTTGCAAAATATGAAAAGAGACGTAGCTTGGTGACCTGATGTGTAAAATAATGCAACTAAGTCAAGTGAAAGCGATTCGGGAGATATCCTCCCCCCCCCCCCCCCCACACACACACCGCCACCAAAGTATAACAAAGGAACGTGCAAAATTTCAGACGCCCAAGCTAGAAGACGCCTACGAGTGCCGATATAAAATAACGCGTGGTGTACAGAGCTCAGAAAATGCATTACCTGCAGATATGCAATCTGTTGCACAGATGTTCACAGCAAGGACTCGCGGAGCCGGCCTTGTAGCACACTTCCAGGCGTTTGTGATAAAATGCTTCTGTCACGCGACCACTTCCTTGAAAGGCGAGCTGCAACTTTTGGATAGACAGCAGTTCCCGGGTGGTCTCAAGTCCAAACTTGTTGCACACCATCTGCAAGATATAGTTGGTATTATGCCATTGTACTACTGACTTTTTTTCTGTCGTGTAACTACGTACAAGCTGATGATAATAAGCACACACTCGGTTGGAGTGGGAGGTCAATTTTGGATGCATCCCAAAGGCTATTTCAACATAAGCTCCGGACAGGTATGGTGTGGCCACGCTAATTTTGTACAACTGAAAGCAATCAACACGAGTCCGGATGGCCAGTTAAATATCCTATGATCGGGTGGGTCAATTGGACTCTATGAGATCCAAAATAAATAATGAGCCTGGCGACACAAACGCAAAGGATGGGTTGGTACGTATGTGAGCTCATTTTCTCATTTCTTAAATCCATAGGTTGTCACCTTCGGGTCAAATAAGGTCATACAACGCCAAACTTCAGACGAGCGTCCAAAGGGCTAGCCAGACCTCCTCATGTAATCGCCTTGAACCTAGATAACTGTTCTAAGCAGATGTCCATGGGCATCTCTTTTAGGTCAGTGGCATTGTTTGATTTTTAGAAGGTCATGGTGACCAAACACCTGCGAGATTGTGTTGATTTGCTATTTGAATAGGAGCTAAGGCCTTTGTTAGATGGTACCTTCCTAAAAGCAAAGGCCTGGTATTTACGAGGCCCATGGAGGATGTCTATTGTGGTCACTGTTATTAATAAACTTGAAATAAGCATCAGAAAGTACCTCATTACGCAAGCTCTTCAGTGAAAAAGCGGATTGATTTTGACCTTGGCCTGACCTTTATACCTCACCCTATACCAAGTAAAGTCATGACTTTCTTAAATTCCACCGGAGCATTGCCTTAGAAGCTATGCCAGAGATGTATCTCACACTTCGTTGTCGCATCAGGCTGAACGATTTCATAGAAATTCACTGTGCTGACATCCACGGCATGAATTTGACCTGCCATAGGTCAGCAACCTTGCAAAGTACATCTAACTTTGTAGATCATAACATCCTCTTCAGATGCCTCCAGGTATGCAGTTTGGCGGGGCTACGTGTTGCTCAAAAATTACTTTGTAAAAACCTTTGGGAGTCAGATTGCTTGCCCCACTCGGGCGTGTGCTAAGTAGCCAACATGTTGGTACACAAATTACACCTACCTTGTAAGATCGCTGCAAAAGCCACGCCATGACGGTCAGCGAAAGCCACTCCTACCGAGATGCTCAATATGATGCGGCAGCGTGGTGTAAGACGAATTCATGCAGTTCTGAGGTGCTGTCTGAGACAATTAGACTGTCAAAATTAGAATTGCGATTGATTCCTTTGATTATGGGTCGGGCATGGACGTCAGATCAAGGTAAAAAGTAAACCACTTTTAGTACGCCTTGTTCCGACCTCCGGACCACCACGACGTCAAAGGATTTCTTATTATGACTTATAAAGACCAGAGAAGTTCACTGACCTAAACTGACTTCGATCACACTTTTGGTTTCAAGAGATAGTATGCGTCTAGGATAGCATTTGTGGCCGATTGTAAATACAAATACTAGCACAATGTAGAACATTTTTGGCCTTTTTTCTCCTAAGGCTGAATAAGTTCACTGACCTGATATGAACACCATTGACGTTTCACCCATATGTGTTATTTAAATCGAGAATGGCTGCTTGGGGAGATCTGAGCGCACGCTTCGGTCACCGATCTGGAGTTTGACCTTGTTTGACATTATTTTGCGCGAAAATGACGGCCTAGTATCTGAAAACCTGAAGCAAGTGAGCTCACATAGAGACCTATCTGACCTGTCAACTTGGTATTTATATCTCCCTGAATATTTAAAATATCTAGGGGTGTTCGAGTTGACCCCTACCACCCAAGCGCCTGGTATTCAGCCGACCACCCTGGAGCTTAGGCGGCACAATTGCGTGCTTTACGTCACCCGTGCTGCCAACGTTCTGCTAGTTTTGTACCAACGCTTTCGTACCGCCGGTGGCAAACATTAACTTCATTTGGGAGGAAACTGCTGAAGTTTTGCAGGATTGCGCACAAATAGCGGGCTGTACCACAGCAGACCTGTTCGCCATTTCTAAAAAAGGAGCCAATCAGAGTCAGACATCAGCTGGGGCTGTTCTCTTCATAGCGTGGTGCAGGGTTGAGCAGCCCTGGTCTCGGGGTGCGCTGACGCGTGGTGTCTGCGCCTGGCCCGGCGTCCCGGCATGCAGCCTGGCGTCCCGGCGTGCAGGCTGGCGTCTTGCCATGCAGCCTGGCGTCCCGGCATGCAGCCTGGCGTCCCGGCGTGCAGCCTGGCGTCCCGGCATACAGTCTGGCGTCCCGGTAGGGATCCCCACTTTTGGCTGTGAGCCTGCACGGGACAGCATTTGTCCTGACGCCCGATCCAGCGATAGACTCTGCTTGCTCTCCGGCCCAGCGCTGGTCTCTGCCCGGGTCTTATAAATTGCCCTACCTTTCTGAGCACGGGGAAAAGCTACTTTTTCAGATTTGGTCGGATGTTTTTTTTACTCTGCGACAGGGTCTGCTGCGGATAATGTGGATGTAACCAGGGGGGGGGGGGGGTGATGCGGGGAAGATATTCCCCCTAACGTTCCCAAAATGTTTTGTCCCCCGATTCCACCGTTGGAAAGGACGTTTTTCATGTTTTGCTCACAAAATGTCATTTTCGCGCCGGTTTATCTCCTCAATACTCCAGTCTGACCCTCCACTCATGATTTACCCCCTCCATGTCGGAGAAATCGTGCGCCCAAAGTGGTTAAGTTTGTAACTTACATGCGGCCTAGATATAATTTACAATGCCATTTTAAAATGAATGAGATATCAGCTATACTCACTCACTTTGGGCCTTTGCCTTACTCCGGAAACGCTTTCTTCGATCGAGGTCCTTAACGAAAGAATGAGATCGCACTGGCTTTTGCATTAAACTTTCTGTGCGCGGAACTGTGGGATATTTTGAAATTATTCCGAAAATCCTGTAAGAGTACTCAATACTGATACATCAAGCCAGATAACTTGAAAAGTGAATTTGATCAGGAGAGGCTATGTGAGGAGGTGGTTTCACTGTAGGTTCCAGTGTAGGTTTGTACGTTGTGTAGGTTCCTTGTCATACGAAGGGCGAAAGAATTCCACGGTTGGAAGTGTCCGACCACGACGCGTCAAGTTGGCGCACACACTTCTGATTAGAACTACAACTGCATGATGATGCCAATAATGCCGAACATACATTACATGTATAATTTCCTGCATATGGCACGAAGTAGACGCGATGCGATACAGCTCCTGATCCAGGTGGGGATCTGTTTAATATAGATGTCATTGTTTCACATCCTTCTGTTTTGGGCTTACCGACCCAACCCAACAAGGCAAAGCAAAATTTGACATTTGGTAAGATGTCTTTGGTACGCGAAGCCTAATCTAAAGACAGTGCTTGCAAACGCCCTCCACCTTGCAAAATTGTGCGGAAATGACCGCCAAATCCGTAATATTTGTGAAGAGAACACTAATATCCTACGTAACACCAAATGCCCCCCTAATGGGCCAGGCCAGCTATTTCCAATGCTGCGGTTAAAAGGCTCACTGTTTGGTTGGAAACCATCGTTAACAATCCCAAGTTCGAGGGCGACACCGTTATGATGATAGGACACATCCCGAACACGGTCCCCCTGGCGACATTGCTCAGGCTGGCAGCACCCCCACCACCCCCCCCCCCCCTCCTCCGTCACTCTCCTCCATTACCCGCGCTCTCCTCAGCCCTTCCGTGATCACTGACGACCGCTCTCACCTGGTTGTGCACTGTGGTCAGCGAGTGGCCTCTGCGACAAGGCGTCGCCGAACTTGCAGATGTCCGCCAGGAGGAGGACGCCACAAGTGCAGCTTCTGGCACCTGTCATCCCCACAGCCCAGGCTGGTGCCGTATTGGCTGCAGACCGCCGGCAGCAGGCCACTGACGGCTCGGGCTTCCACGACCGATCCCGAAGCGGTCCGGCTTGGCAGGCCGGGCCTGGGACTGGTGGAGACGGGATGGCGGGTCCGTGCCTGGGGCGGTGAGAGCAGGACGGGCGGTCCATGCCTGAGGCGGTGGGGATGGAACGGCGGTCCGTGCCTGAGCCGGTGGGGGGTATGATACAGCGGTCCGTGTCTGAGCCAGTGGGACGGGACGGCGGTCCGTGCCTGAGCCGGTGGGGATGGGACGGCGGTCCGTGCCTGAGCCGGTGGGGATGGGACGGCGGTCCGTGCCTGAGCCGGTGGGATGGAACGGCGGGCCGTGCCTGAGCCGGTGGGGTTGGGGCAAACTGTCGGCATGTCTGAGCCAGTGGGGACGGGACGGCGGTTCCGTGCCTGAGCCGGTTGGTGTGGGAACGGCGGCCCGTGCCTGAGCCGGTGGGGATGGAACGGCCGGTCCGTGCCTGAGCCGGTAGGGATGAAACGGCGGTCCGTGCCTGAGCCGGTGGGGATGGGACAGGCGGTCCGTGCCTGAGCCGGTGGGGGCGGGACAGCGGTCCGTGCCCTGAGCCGGTGGAGGTGTGTCGGCGGTCCACCGCCGGGGCGGTGGGCACGGCTTGGTGGATTCCAGTGGGGGGATAGTCAGTTGCGAAAACGAAGGGTGAAGACGGGCGCGTGTCTGCGACCCGAACGACCGTTGACATGGACACCTGGCTCCTGGTCTCGCCGGCCGGGATGTACCAGGACGTCACAACGAGCCACCCATTCACGTTTTCTTCCTTCCACTTGGTCACCGCCGTCCGTAGTCCAGGTCCTTCGGCAGACGCATCCCTGCTGGGCAGAGTCCATCGCTCATGAGAGGGACGTGGCCCGACTGGTGGGGAGAAGACGCTTGCAGAGTGGCGTGTTACGTTACAACACAGCGACATTGGCACATCTCCATCATACGCATGCATGCTTCGAAGACAATTTATATCTGTTTGTTACGGATTCGTCATAGTTTTCTGCACGTTATCATTTAATTTTGCACCTTTGTCGCGGATTTGGCGTCGTGATGTAGTCATTACGAAGAGCAGTATTACACAGCATGATCAGTCTTCACTCAGTGGTTATTGTTTTAGCTCGGGCACGTGGAATGGCACGTACCCCTTATCCCTAATAGCGCAAAATATGGTTATCAATAGGGCAACGGCCTTAACGTAAAGTCAATAGAGAAAATGGGTCTCCTGTCGACGGATTTTCCAAGCTTTGCCTCTAGAGGTCAACCAGTGACCCCCGGATCAGGCCACTCCACAACTACAGATGCGGAACATTACAAATTCCTGGGACAAATAATGGCATTGCTCAAGTCGCATATGGTCAAGGGTCGCTCGAAGAATCAGATTTAGAGCATGAACGCGGGTCTGGAACTGACTGAAGATTAAGTAAGCTCCGCGAAGGTCATCAGTCTCATTTAGTATGGAGAGGTCCCCGACTTTTCAAAAGTGATGCCTGTTTTCAATACTGTACTGCTTGTGCGCTGAAAGAAATATATGTGTTTTCTGTTCAACGCCCCAATTATAATTATTTACCGCGCATTTTAATGCGTTAAAGAAAACCGACAACAGCTGTCGTAGATATGGCTGGTGCTGACCTTGACACCATGGTACCGTAGTTCAATGAACCAGGCAAGGTCTTGGATGATTGTTTTAAAAAAGCATGCTCCATAAACGTGCTTGAATACAAACTAAAAATATATTAAGGCGTCTTAAAGTGTCTTTAAGTGTAATAAAAGTGGCCTGTTTTTGAGCGTTATGAGTAAGGTGTTGACAGTTATCGGGCCTACAGTTTACCAGGAGTTGATGGCTAGAGAACCTATGTGGTCGAAACCGAGTTGCTGTAAATTTAAAATGTGAGTGAGAGTCCTGGGGAGCCCAAGGGCCCCTCGAAGTGGCCCTTTTCGGCTCACACAGTACGAAGAAAAATGGACGAACTGGGCGAGAAGCAACCCCAAAAGTGGCCTTTACCGAAATAAAGTTTGGTTAAACTTCAAAGTACAAAATCATCTTTTCTGGATGCTCAGCAATGTCCCCCTGGCAACTCCGGGTACAATCAGGACAATTAGGCCCGTTCAGTTGGTCCCCTCCTGGCCAACAGAGGCACTTTGATCGCCTAGGGGCCTTCCGGCTACTTAGAACCCCTCTCGCTAAAGTCCCAGTCAAGACCTTAACGGGACCTCAGGACCGACCAAAGGACTCCTTGGCCGCTGGAGAGGTCGTATTTTCCCGCAGGACGTTTTGTGCTTAGAGCCTCTCTGGACGCTCATTAGCCGTTTCAGGTGCCAAGAGCTTTTTGACCGCTGACGACCCCCCTGGCCCATTGAGAAGCCCTGACCGTTGGCGTTCCCCTCTGAATGCTCAGGGGCAGGGGCAATGCCACCCGGCCCTCTCCGGTCACCAAAAGACACTATTTTTTTGTTCAGGAATACGTCCTGACCACTCCAGTGCTGGTATGCATACTGAATATCCGACCAACAGCTATAACTATTTCATTGAACGTGCGTCCACGCGGTGATTGTTTTGCGCCTAGCCGAACAAGAAAAAAAACGCACACGCAGTACACAGAGATACACATATAAGCACAGGTGAAAGCGGTTTCAGTCAATGAGCCAGCGATTTAACACCGTCAGGAATGCCCGGCGCGAGGGGGCGCGGACGGCCACCGCAGGCAGCCAGTTCCATGCGGCGGCGGCGCGCTACGGAAAATGCCGCTGCGTAACGGTTAGTCGGGCGCGCAGCAGACGTGGCGAGTCGACACATCACAGTCGCCCGGAACAGCCCGAGGTTTCGGTCGGGGCAAATTGGCGTAAGCGCACATGGTAGATGTTACGACGCTTACAAACGCAGCAGCAATGTCGCCCACCGGAGCTCGTCAAATCGTGTAGCAGTCTTCCTTTTGCCCCATGGTATGCGTCCTAGTTTTTCGTTCCTGCCCCCCACATTCTGAGAGAGTGGTTGTTGGTTTGCAGAAGGTAATGATTGAAAGACATTGCTAAAAATATGTTATCAAGCAGACATTGGCAGTATTATCGCTACACAACATTTCAACAACAATCAAGCGCTCGGTTTTGGTCAATATTTTTATAAAGACTTGCTACCTTCGGTGCGGGGGTCTTAAGAAGAAAACAGAAACATATCAACCTTTTTACCATTGATCGGCTTTCTGTAGTGTGAGCGGATGGCACGCACTTCACTGCGTGCGAAAGAGGCATCCCCCCGTGCATACCGAGGGCGAAATGAGGGTGTGGAAATTTGCTCTCATTTTGAGAAGGAGCTTCTCAATCACAAAGCATGGCGAACTACTCAAGTATGCTCCCCTTGCACTTTGTCGTTAGAGGTGAAGCTACGGACTAAAAGCATGAAGCAAAACTTTTGCAGGCCTATTTATTCGTAAAGAGTGGACAATGATGCTACCAAATTCGATATGGCTTGAGCTTAAGAGTTCGTTTGTGATAAAAGCTGCTACCTCGTCTTGATTAAGATATTTGTGGGCAGTTTCAACCTTCTTAATTAAGACCTTATAACGAATCGCTCCTCTAGAGAGTTAATTAATTTGCGCTCAGAACATGCGGAATTCTCACTAACAAACTTTCAATCCCAAGAAATCCAGAAAATACCCAAACATATTGCTACTATCGCCCCTTGCATTCGGTCATAACGATATGAACGGAAGCGCCGACATGATGGAAAGGTTTCTTTGTCGCAATTGCCTCACACTGGACCCTGTTAAGGTGCACAACCTGCGTAATTATTGTGACCTAAAGAAAAAGTTAGCACAAAAATTATCGATGTTAACCAACGAAGAACGTCAGAATATTTCGCGTAGCCATCTCAAAAACGATGTTCGGTAGGCCCAATCCGTTTCAGATTCATGCTGAAGTATTCCGGCTCTACAGCGCTGTGGCATGAAAATAATACGGAGTGCGCTACTGGACCTACACGACGACCTACACGCAGCCTCCTACACTGCCGACTCTACGGTGTTTGAGCCCATCCAGCGTACAACGTGGCAATATGGGCGCCAATACTTAGTAAAGGTGTGCTCACGGAGACTACCAAGTGAAATACGATGTTTACTGCAATGGAGCGGCAGCATATACCGTTCCCTAGAAATGTGAAATGCTGATTTGCAGGGATCACTTAGGGAAAAACGCTCTTGCCGAACAAAGCTTGCTGCCCAAGATCTTAACACCTGCGACTGATGTAGAAAAGGTCAAGGTTCCCTGGTCAAATGTTCGTGGAAGATCATTCAAATTCTCGCACTGATTCTGTCTGGCTGGGTTCGTGAATTGCCGCTGGGCCGTCAGAGAAGAGCACGTAGACCTGTGTTTGAGACGTAAACCCACAGGCTTACCATGCTGTGGCCAGTGTACGACATCCTATCAAACTGAGCTCTCGGGACGGCAAATACATGGCGGGAGGGATTTCTAGCAGGCGATAACAGAACTGATGGCTGTTTAAGTGCAAAACGGATGAATGTCAGCAATTCAGCTTTTCATTTGCAGTCTTTGCTTACCTGCTGCGAACCTCATTTCTGCTGTCCTCGAATCTGTGGTATTCCTGTGAAGGAAGCGTTATTCAGTCAACGTCTTCGGTGCTTAGAGGACCTATGTTGTAGACAAATACTCGTCACGTATGACGTGATTGCCTACATTCCAGCGGTGTCATTTGCAACAGCAGAAAAGACGAATGGCGTGTGAGAACGAGATGAGAAAAGACCGATGACAGTCAGCAAGGGTGACAGTCTACCTTAGTCTGAAGATTTAGCACACGCCAATTTCCACGAGGATGCCACTCGTTTAAATCCATTCGTGCAATAACACTCGCGCGCCAGCCTTCGAAGGCAACTTGGTACCAGTGATTCCTTAAAACTTTAGTCAATAACATTGTTT